TTCCCAACTCAAAGGACTCAAGTATCAGCCCTTTCTCTCTGCAGCCAGGCTAATGTGCACCACAGAGTCTGAGAAACTCCCCTGTCACCTACATTAATTCTTATCGTGTTGTTCTTGGCTACACTTCACTGAAGTACAGTGAGGGAGAGTGCTTCAGTCAATAATGTGGATCCAAGGGAACACCCCTCTGCTGTTCCTCAGGATCAGCTCAATAGCACAAAGCAAATGTTCACCCAACTGGGGAACTTGGGAAATATTAGGACTTCCAGAACTAGAGCATAAGACACTGAGGTGGCCTCAGGAGGATGTTTAAGCTCACATGGACAATTGCATCACTCCAGGGTAGCTTTCTGCACTTTTGAGAGTTTGCTACTCAATAAAAAAAAAGCAAGAGCTCAGAGCTCTCAGTAGCCTCAGTGACAGAGGCCTTGCATTTCACAGCAGATTCCATCAGAAGTTCCACTTTGCCACTCTCCTGGAAACCCTGAGGCACTGCTGTCACAGCCCATGAATCTGAGATTTTGTCATCAAGGAAGGATGATGCCCTTCAGAAGGTCCAACTGTAAACACTCACAAATGCCTGGTCTCTCATTCTTCAAAGGGGACAATACCCCAGCTAAGGACAGGACTTGTTCAGAACTGCTCTCTGGAGCTGTGGCATTTCCAGATTTGGAAGAACACAGGAGCTAAAGGGAGATGCAAGCAGAAAATCCCCAAATGTTCTCTTACGAATACATTGGACTCTTACCCCATCAAAAGGGAATTCACTAACTAACACTAGGCTAAAAGGGGCTAAAAGTAGCTAAGTCAAATAAAATGTGCATCTTTCAAATAAAGAACAAGAAAAATTCGGGGATTACAATGAAATCCCTGATAAAGGAAGAGACCCAAAGTCCTGACCTGAAATGTAAAGGTAACCTGGATATATGCAGAACGAACAAGGGCAGAAATGCAAGCAAAGTCTGAAGTATCAAGAGAATTCTCCTCATTTTCCTGTGTTTGAAATATGTCTAACAAATAAGCTCAGTGACAAATAAAGAAGTAAAAATCAAAAGCGCTGTCATGATTTAATTAGATCCCAGCCTGACGTAAATTAAATTAATAAAAAAAAAAAAAAATCCTTTGACAACCTGAGAGCCGTTTCTGAAGTCTCCAAAGCAGCCTTGCTGCTCTTGAAATGACTTCCTGTGAGATGGTGAATAATCTCTGCTTTCTGCATTAGGGGAATCATTCACCTGAACCGAGCAGTGTGATCAGTGTGAACACCCTGCTGCCCAAACTGCTGCCTGACAACATCTTCCCAATCACTCAGGAGTCTCCTGCCAGCAGAACATTAGCTGACTCCATTTCTCTAAGGAAAATGCCTGGGTTTCCTGATGTTTCCAGCTGTGTTTGTACAACCTGCCTTCGTGTGAAGTTGAAAATTAATGCACTTCCTCTTGATCCTTTGAAAGAGAGAAAAAAAGGAAGATTATAAAAATTAATAAAAATGCCAAAGCTCAATCCTTTGTCCCTGTTGAACAAGGGTTTTTAAATAAAGATTGCTGAGCTCAAGCTCCTGCATAAAGCTAAAAGCTGCCATGTAACCTGTTGCTCTGACACAGTGTGAACAGAATATTGGTTGGCTGCACTGCAGTTCATTCACACGAGTAAGAGATAAAAATAAAACAGGCTTTCAATTTGGACTGTTTTGTTGGGAGTACACCCTGGAAAAATGTATTTGGGCCTTTTCTCACAGGGAGCTGGCAAAGCAGGGAACACTTGTTTATTTTCTTGATTTTTGCTTAAAGCCTAAAGTCTGTCTTTTTTCACTGGTTTTCTTTCCCTTGGTATTTTAATTTAATGGAGTTACATAATATTCTAATAGACAAGGTATCTGTAGTCCTTTTGGTTTAAATCTGTTTGAGATATGTTACCACCTAGCTAATCCCAACTCAGAGCAGAGCCTTGGGAAAAAGAAGTCTCCTTGTCAAAGATTTCAGAAGAGGGATCTTGCTCTTTGTTTTTATGCTGAAACAAGGAGAACAAGCCTGATTCCCATGTTGCTTTAATGTAAAGGGAAGGAGGATGGAACAAACCCCAACTGGTCTTTGTGTGATCTGAAGGAAAAACAGGGGAGGAGGTAAGGGTGAGTATTTTTACAGTTCATCTTTCATGGAGTATACAGGCTTTCCTTAAATGAATCTGTTAATATATTGGACATACTCTACCACAAACTGCTGAGACTTTTATCTGGAAAAATTTCCCCCACCCCCTCCTTGGAGCTGCTGGTCCTGACAGGCTGCAGCTCCCAATACCTCTACCCAGCTAACAATACACAGCACCTTGTTCAAACAAGACTGGTCTCCATTTCACACTACCCCCCAGGGAATATTCACTTTTCTCTTCAGACTGTATCTTTCTGACTGATGCAATCAGATTCTGGAAACCTGCCTTATTAGTTTATATTCCAGCTTCTTAGGGAATGATGTTAATTTTCCATTGTAGGACCAGAAGATTTGAGATGTGCTAGATCTTGTCTATAAGAAACAACCAAACAGTGGCACAAGCAGTACCAGGGTTAGAAATGACTGCAGTGAACAGCAAGTCTAGGGGTTACAAAAGAGACACTCTCCTAACTCCAACGGTGCTTGAAAAGAGGTCTTTTACAATTACCCAATGAATAAATAAAAGTGCATTTTCTCACTTATTCACTTGAGATATTCTGCCTAATTTCTGCACCAGTTCACCATTCTAATTGTTTTCTTCCCAGATCTGTGGTTTACTACTAAGCCTTTACACTGTGATGGCCAAAGAGTTCCATTATATCCATTAAAGATTAGATCATTTTCTTTTGTTTCCCACAGCAAATAGGATCCCATTTATGTCCCAAAGAGAATGTCAGTAGTTGGAATGATGTTTTCTTAAGGTGCATATAAGATTAAAGACTGAAATCAGATGCAGTGTTGCCAAAGCCTTTGTAATATGCATGTTTTTCATGGCAAGATGATTGACAAGAATTGCAGGAAGGTGCTGAAGGGGATATTTCACCTGGCCCATCAAAACTCAATGTAGAGGATTAGAACTAAGAAGAGCTGACAATATTGACTTTGAGTACCACAACGGAAACATAATTAGCTCTTTGACAGGTAGTGGACAGAAATATTCCATTTTTAAAAAATCAGTTAGAGTAATTACAGCGTATCTGTTGCATGCTGCCCTGGGAAAAAAAAAAAAGAAAAAGAAAAAAGGTCTGCTCTGCTGTTTCCTCTTTTCCCAGTAAAATTCAACTTTGGCACTAGAATAAATGCTTGCAAACCCAGCCTTTCTGCTGGAAGAACATCAGGAAAACTTTGTGCATAAAAGTAAAAAACCTCTCTTAAAAGAGAGCACACAGATCTGAAAGAATGAAAAAGTCAATGAATTTTATACAAGTTTACGTATTGCAAAACAAACTGTCTGCACTATGCTTATTAAAGGCATATTTCATTGCCTAATCATAGATGTCTATTGTACCTTTTATGTTTTGAATCATAATTGCAGCCTGTTCCCCAACTGTAATAATGACAGACGTTTTGGCACATGCTCACATTGATTCCCCTTTAACAAAGCACTTAAGACACAGCCTGGCATCCCACTGCAGTTAATGGGCAGCATTAACTCGAGGCCCTTGATGTCACTGGGATTTAGACAAATGGCAGTTTGTATGGGCACAAAATTACCCACTGTTGGCCAGCCAGGAGCCTCTGAAGAGAACCCTTCAAACTCCAAAGCCTGTCCGAGGTGCAGCTGCTTTGGTTAGAAACACCCTGCACTGGGCAAAGGGGTTTTATGCTTTTACCAGAATAACTGTGCTGGGAAAAAAGGGTATCTGCTGTGCTGAACTGTCTTTTCCAGCTCCTGCTCTGCAATAATCTGAACTGTAGCAACAACTTTCAGTAGGTGTAATGACACGTTCCAGAAAAGGGAAAAGGCAAAACTTAATTGCACACAATACCTTAGCATTGAGAACAAGTTATCATTAGGTGTAATACAAATAATGCAGTATATTCAGTTCTCAATTTATAAAGATTATTGTCTGTATGCTTGTCTGTAATTCTTTTTGTTTTGGGATTAAGTAGCATACAAAAATAAGGAACAAAAAAACAATGAAGAATTTTCTTACCTTATCCCTTTTTTAGCCTCTGTTACTAGATATCCTAATTAGTTAGAACCTGCAATGAAATATTACAAGAAATTAAAACAGATTAAAAATGCAGAAATCAAAATGCCTTTAAATACAATAAAGTCAATATTCATTCTCAGCATCAAATCCAGGGCATGTACTCAGATAATACTAAACCAGCCTGTTTCAGCAGCTCAGCATTACCTGACATAATGGGAACTTCTCATCAAAATCAGTGCATTTACAGAAGTAAAAGAAAATTGAGATGAACTGATCAATGTCCTCCCTTTCTTTTCTGACAGAGAAGTTTCTCAGAGTTCTAAATGTTACTGGTCATTTCTCAATTAGTTTTCCAACATTTTTACCCAGCAGTACCTATAGCTGCTAACTGGCTTTGTTCTTATGATTTTTTTCCACTTTGTGCTCTGGTTTAAAACCCGAGGTAAATAGCTGGTGTAGAATAGTTTGGCCCTGTGCAATCCTCAGACTGCACTGTATTTCCAGGGAGTTTACTCCTGACCTCAAGCAGGATGTCAACACACAGGGACAGTGAAAATACGTTAGATCTCATTAGCTGCAATAAACTGGAGAGTGTTTGAAAACATACTTACCAAGTCTACAGGTTCCCTTAAATTTAAAATAAGAGGCCATCCAGCCTGGAGAAATCTCCACGGTTATTCAGCTTACACACAGATACAGAGAGGTATCAACATTTCCTTCTTAAAAGGTCTGAGTATGTCTACTTCTTCATTTCCTTAACACACACTTCAACCAAGAGAAACAATAGCAAGATCAAAAACCAAATCTATTGTAAGCAGAAAGCATATGTCCAAAATTAAGCAAATACAATCCCACATTTACTAGAAAAAAAATATTCTTTATTCATTAATTAATGCACAACACAATAAATATTGGAATCAGACGTGTAAGGGACCCAGCAAAGCTCAGACCTGTTTGCACCATGGTGTGGTTTGACAAACAGATCCTCATCAGCTGGCATCCTGTGAAGCCTGACTCAATTTGTTTGTTTTTTACATTTTCACATGCAATCAGTAATTTGCAGTGTACATCAGTTGTTCCAATTGACATTAGCCAGGCTTTTAAATAAAACAATTCTTAAGCACCATCCCTGGTGAATCCTGCAGGAAAAAAGCACAGTCACAGCAGTTGTCATTATTCTGCCCTGCTGCTGATGTTGCCATCAGGGTTATGCAGCTGTGATGTGTGTTCAGTTTTACTTCAGTGGGGCAACAGCATTTTCCACTAAACCAGGAACAGAACTGGGCTGCTACTGAAGAGACAGGAACAACGTTCATCAGAATTCTAACACCAAGGCAGTTCTGTTACTTCTGAGAGAGATGACATGCCTTAGTTTCACACACTGAGCACACATTTCCTCGAGATCTCCTTATTTGCTGTCCAAATAATTATTTTCAACTTTATGATGAATGAAATGAACTCATCTTTCCATTGATTTGTCTGTAGGGACAGACTCCTTCTGCTGGATGCATTGATAGGGAAGAGAAGCTGATTTTACAGGGCTAAACACCAGTGCTTTCACTTACGGGAAACCAAAGGAACTATCAAAGGTAATCACTAGAAAAAAGTCTTGCATGCATAGACATTACAATTCAGTCAGAGGTGAGATATTTCTCACAGAAAGATCTCTGTTTCAATTGTTAATTGCAATGTTAAGTAAAATATTTTAAGAAACCCTAATGTATTATGAACTCCTCTTTTGTGAAATGTTTTTGGCTGCACCAGGCTCATAAGACCTTTATTAAAGGAAACAGAAACTTCTGAATGGGCAGGTATGCACACATTTATATACAAAGTTTTCATTATTTCTTCTAAAGGCAGCTGTAAAATGCAGGCAGTGTTTCAGCTACACTTCCACTCAAAGTATTTCTTTTCAATTACAAACTTATGGATGAGTTCACAGATGAAAACTGGCAGATGTGACAGGGAATGCCACTTGCAGCCAAACTGTATCACTCCTTCCTATTTTATGGACCAGAAATATTGACCAAAACTCAGGAAATTTTGTAAAGAAAGCATTTGAGACTTCTTTTTTTGTTAAAATAAATAGTTGAAAATTCAATATTCTAGTATCAATGGAAGTATGATAAATGCTTTTACATAAAATTTTACAAGGAAGTTCTGATCCTTTTTTTCTAGTAGTTTCTCTGACAGGTACAATTCTCGTGGTAAAAAAGATTTCACTCATAACAAACCAGCCATTTGTCTGCGTTGCAGCAGTGAAACAGCAATCAAATTAAAAATAGCAAAGATACACATGATCATCAGACTATTCCTCTAAACTGTGCAACAAGCTTGGAATGAAAATATCAAATTCCCCTAAGAAAACACTGATATCAATTAACTGCAAAAAGGATACATTTGGTTTCACCTCCAGCCGATCTCTTCTTTTCCTATGATCACTATTCTGCTGCAAAGGGTGCAAGAAACTCTGTGTCTATGCACAGCAAAATACTGCGACTTCCATTGAAGTTCTTGCCTTTGTCAGGCCACCTCCTCACCGGGCTCTGCACAAGCAGCTTCACTCTCGGATGTTCCTTTGCTGCCACAGATTAGGCAGCACCTCCCCCTTCTGGAGAGCCCGAAAAGCAGCGGGAATTCGGGACAGGGCAAGGCTTTCTCGGTACGCAAAACAAAGTTTGCAGAGAATTATTTTAGATCCTTGTTCTGAGCAGGACTGTCTCTTTTCTAGATCGCTGGTTAATGTAGTTCCCTTCACTAACGTGTTTTAGTAAAGCCAGACCTAAATCAATTCAGATGTAGTAGCTCATCAGTGAGAAAGTCTTAAAAAGAAACCAAGAAAATATATCAGCCAGATTTCTGCATTCTATAAAACAGAAAATGCTACATAAGTTGGATTATTAGTGGGTTTGATTCTACTTGTCAGCATTGCTTAATATGCACTGTTCAAGCAGTAATTTGTGAGATGTGTCAATTTAGTTTGAACTGAACAAAAAATTTCAGGAGTAGGCAGAGAAATCACCATAAAATTCAACTCTTCCTTTAGCACCTCTGAGCTCATTCATTCTCAGCCATCATCATAACATTGATTAATGCACAGGGATTCTTCCAGCAGCAGCACAGCCTCAGTGGTAGGTGATTTTCTGTTACCTTCCTGTATGCATTACATTTAGAAGAAAAATCCCGAGGCTGACTGCTTACCCCTTGTTACACACTCTGGGAACTTGCTTCTGCTCGTGAGCACAGTCTCAGCAGTCACTGCTGGCATCAGTAATGAGCTGTGCAAGCTCAGGACAAAGTATCACCAAACTGCCACGGGAGGCCCTGTCCAGTTCCCAGATCTGTGGCACCATCCCAGGAGGCACTTTGCCAGCAGAGGAACCCAGGGAAAACTGCTCCACTTGTAGGTGGCCTCAGGTGTCCCTGGCTTCAGTTACATTCACATGTAAAATACTGGGATTATTTCCTAGCTCCCAGCAAGAGGAGGGTTTTAGGCACTTTGAAAGAGAGAGCTTTGTTACAGCAGGACTGCATTGGTGTTAGAACTGAGATGGTGCAAGGACAATTCTTTTGGCTGTGAGAAGGAGCTGCCCACAGGGAGAACGAGAAAGATCCCTGCAACTCAAACCATTAATGCTGTTTCAACTCTAAGTGCCCCTTTTCTTCCCAAACATATTTTGTGCTTTTTTCCTCCTTTCCAGGGATGGTGTTTAACCTCAGCAGCCTGTGACTGTTGCATCCAAGCCAGAGCGCTTTGTGATGTGCAGCTTGGTGACCTCCTCAGCACAGGTGGGGTGGATGCCAACTGTCTTCATCAGCTGAGGATACGTGGCACCACACCTACCAAAAACAGCAGAAAGAGAAAGACCCACACAGTCAAATGCTCTTCACCTGAAACAGCCAGAAGGTCCGAAAACATCAAAGTAATTCTGCTCCTGTCCATTTTATCAGGTAGAGGAGCTCATTTGTTTCTCAGACAATGCTGGCTCTATTATTTCTCAGGCAGTTACACAACTGTAGACGCCCAACTTCACGGCATCGAGGCAGGGAAGAATTGTCATAAGGGTTGAGACAGAGACAATTAAGCAATTTACCCAAGTCACAACTGAGCCTATGGCAAAAACATCTGACAAAACTGCAACCTTCAGCTTTTCTTGTACATACATGTGTGTCTCACTAACTCAGATGGAAAACAATGCACACATGCACACAGAGGAAGAAAATCTGAATCAGAACCGCTGGAAAGAATCTGCTGAAGGAAGCAATACCAGAATATTATTCCATGATCTTACAGAAAGTCACTGGTGCTTATACTGAACATATCAATGTTATAAGCAGGAGAATAAAAAGCCTCTTATTTGAAAAAAACCCAAACCAAATAAACAACAACAAAAAACCCATCAGAAAACCCTTCAGCTAAAATCCCACTTGCTTAATTCCTTTACTTGTCCAATACATTCTTAAGACTTGATGACTTTCCTTTGAGCTGCTATTCCTGGCAGGTCATGCTTTAAGAATAGCTGAAATGGCCCTAAATTTAAGAATTGTTTCAAGCTCTCTATGGAACTGTGTTATCTCACTCCACAAAATACAGGGAAGGGAGCCACAGATACTTTCTGATGTCTGCACGTCCAAAAAGCACCAACAATCAGAGGATCATTGCTGAGCACAGATGTTACTGGAGGGCTAAGTGGGGAGGGAAGATGAAAAATCGTCCTTCAGAGAGGCTGAAGCAAGACCCAGTGCTTGACAAAGGAGAACAGCTCTTCCAGTGAGTGTTCCACACTGAGAGCTCTGGATTTGTGAAGTGCAATAGAAACCAATACAAGAATCTGACCTGCTGAAAACCTCTTACTGTGGCTAAAATTTTAATTTCCCTCAAGCAAGGCAGAAAAGCACTCCAGTTTCATGTGCTTCCTTTTCAATGGTTATTTTGGATAAAACTTCAAAACAATGACATCCTAAAAAATGTAGTTCTAGAATCTATACCACTGGCAATTAAAGGACTACAAACACATGTTGAAAATGTGTACTGAGGGTACACTGCAATCAGTGATTTCCAAGATATTCCTTACGTGATACTTGTGGTCCTGCCTTCTTAATCCTTTCTGCTTTTCATTTATGCTAGTCACTCACATCTCTAAGACTAAAACTGCAATAAAATGGTGAGCACAATTAGGAAAATGAACTCACACCACAACTCGGGGTGATTTATTGTGCCCCAGACTACTTTCTTCAAAGAGGGAGTTAAAAACTATAATTTAGTAACATAAATATACAAATCAACATTTCTGAGGATAAGGATGATAAGAAGGGAAATGTAACAACAAATATTAAATAATTGCAGCCCATGGGAGGCATAGCAGGAATTTTCCATTTACCAGGGAGGACCCAGAAAGAGAGGGCTTCTATACTAATATTTGAGGAAAATCTGGAACAAGATCTGATCACAAAGGGTAAGTTTGTTATTGCAATTATCAGCTAGCTCCAAACAAAAGTACCTGCCCTCTCCCATTATCCTACACAAGTTTCTTTCTTACTATATCATGATTAGCTTATACCTCAGAAGCATATAGGGATTCATGCAAGTCCTTGCTGAGCATTTGAGGAGCAATGGCTGTGCACATTTAAAGATAAGATTAGGAAATCCTTGGCAGGTGTAAAGAAAGGTTTTTATGAAAAGCACAAATATTCTTTAAAAGAAGTAGCTTCCAAAACTGTACAGTGGTTGCTTATTCTGTGCATAGAATGCAAAAGAGGCTACGCTGAAAAACACTAACATTAGTAAGTTAATGCACAATTTTGTTTTTTGCTTTAACTATATCAAGTCAACAATATATTTTCCTTAGTTGTTTCCTTAGCCATATCCAGTATTACAGTAACTAAATCCAATACATCTTAATGAAGAACTGCAGTATTTTAAGTGAAAATATGTGCAACACTTCATAAAAGTAACAAAAAGCCTGCATTCTTTATAGTGTTGCCAAAACGAGGCAGCTATCTTTTATAATCTTACAATAACTTAAGAAGCAGGCTTTAGAAACTGGAGACATTCTTTTGTACTTACTTGATTCCAAGAGCAAATCCTTGAATAACTTCGCCTGCATTTGGTCCAATGAAATGAAGGCCAAGTATCCGTTGCTCCCTCTCTCGTAAGCACACCATCTGAAAACAATACATGACACAGAGAGCCTCCCTTAGAACACTTAAAGATAAGGCAGGAAGGTGAATTAAACGCAACTGAAGTGCCCCAGGATCCTAGTTCAGCTGGTCGTTTCCAGGGTGCCAAAAACTTACACACTTGCTCCAGTCTCACTGACCTCAACGGCTCTGGAGCACTTTGCTGAACTGAACTGCAGCAGGGTATTTGTGTCAGACTGCAGGGAGCCACTGACAACAGTCATCTGTGCTACTGAATACTTTGGTGTTTGTCATTTGTTTGAAAGCCTCAAAACACTGTGGTCTGGTAACCAGAGCAATGTTCTTTTCCCCAGACTGGCCACCTCAGCACTTCTCCAGGGCTGGGCAGTTATTGCCAGCAGCTCATCAGCTGGATTGGCACAGTTACTGCCAGCAGCTCATCAGCTGGATTGGCACACATGACCACTGCCAATTATGGGACACTTTGGGCCTTTGTGATTCAGGCAGGAAGCACTTGGAGCAGTGTCTGGGGGGACATTCACCACACTGGCCACACAACCGAGAAAGGAGTCAAGCCTTGGAAGCAGCCAAGTATGAAGGTGAGTTAACAAGGATCTGGGAGAGCTGAGTCACTGCACACTTAACTTTTATTAGAGAACGTAATGAAAACTTTTTAGTTCCTTTAAGGACATCATCTTTATAATTATGGAAAAGAGTCTCTCCCAGCATCCTCCCATCAAGCATTAAATCATCACTAATCCAGCTGTTCAGTAAAAGCTTGAATTCTTTCCTCAGGAATGCCAGGAACAGCAGCAATCCTGACATGTAACTTTAAATTTTGAGGAGTTTTAAAGAAAAAACTCTCTTGCAATAGAGTTTGAAATACTCAAGTTAGATGTTTGTTTTGAGAGTTTAGTAGGGACTATATTCAATATCTTCCAATAACTATTATGCTATTACTACTTCACCCTCAAATATTTACTTTAACTGACATAATTCAAAGGGAATACATAAAAGGAAATAGCATCACCTTAGTTGCACTGGTAGTTGGGACACTTAAGGCAAGTCACTAAGGCACTTACATAAATCAGATGTGACAAAACACAGTCAGAAAAACTGGCTGCAACTATTGACAATGGACATCTCTTACATAACAATAACAATATAACACTTTATCATAGAACTGATGGACCTATTTATGCAAAAAAAATTGTTCCCTGATGTTGAAGAGAAAAGAAAGAAAAAGAAAACTATGATATATTCTACCAACACTACACTTCACCTTATCTAAGATTCTCTACTAAGGGCAAGTGCATCAAAAACCTTTCCAACACTGAAGCAACTGGATGGCCCTAGGAGAAGATATATTTCAGGTCTGACACTTTGGTCTTAGCCAGGAGCTTTCTGTTTTCCTGAGTAAGACTGAACAGTTACTCTATTTTTGTAAGCCTTATGCTTAATTTTTCTGAAGGTAGCACACTTTGCCAAGAGATGGCAATGCAAATATTACATGTAACCCAGTTAAAAACTTTGCCGGGAGAAGCAGAGATTGATGTCTATAGAATTTGAAATATTTCTTAGGACCTTAAGAGCAGTCCAAAGGCAGTATTAGTCAGCAGAATATCAGTTCTGAGAAATGCTAATATCTGTAAAGCAATTCCAAGATGCAATGGGATATTTAATGAACATTAAACATTTGGAGTTACACTAGAGAAACAGGTTGTCAACAAGAAAATATCCACCTTGAGATGTTTTTTGCCAAACAGCCCTCCTTAAAGCTGGCTGCACCATATTACTTGTTTCAAATTAAAGGCAAGTTAAAAGCTCACAGAACTCACTTTCATATAGCACTGAGCTGCATCTCTTTCAGCCACTGTAAACTCTAGAGGTTTATAATATGCATGGAATACCTGGTAGGAAAAACAACAACATTTTGTGTTAGAGAGCACTATTATGCCAAAAACTGCCATTTAATATTATAATGACTGCTATTACTACACCCTTATACCTCTGTAGAAAAAATTATTTATTTAAAACCTTTTCATTATTTTAAAGGAAAATATGGAAAGCCCTTGCTAAAAATGGCAGCTACTTTAAAACTGTCACCCAATTTTAAAGCTGTCAATAATTTCAAGCCCACTAGGTAGCAGTTCCCATTGTGACCTGCTGCAATAATACTAAAGCTCTGAGCACTTCTGGAGACACCAACACCCTAGCAGCAAACACAGTATTCTGGGGGTCCAAAAATTTCACCTGATGCAACAGTGAAAATTCTGTCTGTTCACAGTGCAACTCTGCCACCAAACAGAGAATTACAAATGATTTCATACCTCAATATTGTCTGACCCGTGACACTGCACAGCTGCTTCCTCCGACAGTCCAACACAGCCATACTCCAGGGGAGTGAACACCGTGGTGGGCACCTGCTCCGGGGACACAGGGTGTTACTGGGGACACAGGGTGTCACTGGGGACACAGGGTGTCACTGGGGACACAGGGTGTTACTGGGGAACAGGGCTATTACTGGGGACACGGGTGTGTTACTGGGGACACAGGGCTGTTACTGGGGACACAGGGTGTTACTGGGGACACAGGG